GGGTGCTCGCCGTGGGGGGCGGTCGGCGCGCCCGCCGCCGCGCCGCAAAGTTGCCGCCGCTTCGTTGCTGTCCCTCCTCAGTCCCTCGCCCCCGAGCCGTGAGTTTTCCGCATAAAACACATTAACGAGCCCTTTCATTTGCTTGCTCCTTCAGGGTCGCGTGTTAGTTTTGTTGGAGGGGGGTGCAGGCTCCTTACTACTCGTTGAGAGCGCTGGCAGATGTCCCAAGTGAGAGAACCTCTTCCTCCGGGGCCTGAAGGGCCAGAGCAAGCGCCGACTGAAAACAGCTCTTTGATCCCTCTCCCTCGAGGTAAGTTGCTTTAAAGTTTCTCTGTAATTGTTGCGCCTTTTATTTGAATGATACATTTACTGCCTCCCCTCTTTGGTGTAACTGTAACACTTTCAGTTCCACTTCTTTTTTGGTTTAAACCAGAAATTCCTATGTAGAAAATGAAAAAAAAAAAAAGAAAAAAGAAAAAAAAACAAGAAAAAAAAAGATGCACTGATGTCAGCATTGGTTCTCAGTACTTGAAAAACTGCAGTCATTCAGAGGCAGATGCTGGTCCTTAAGAATCGCTTTCTTGCTTCTCAGCTTTGTGTTTGTGTTCAGAAGCTCTTCCCTGTAAAGCTCTCCTTCCAGGTCTGGCCGTAAGGGTGATCCAGGAGCAGGAGCGTTGTTCAGGTTGGAGGTCACTTTGCTGTTTTTTTCTTAGCTTGCTCTCTGATGCTGCAGCTAAAACCAGTTTCTGAGAGTATTAACTTGTTTTGTATCAGCTGTTCAAAAGGTTGTTTAAAAGTACATTCATCTTAGAGAGAAATTCTCTATGTCTTAACTTGCATTTGAGCAAAGTACATTGATGTTCTGATCACCTTCATGTAGGGAAGTTTGGCAAGGTGTATTGCAGGTTAGCCTCAAAATAGGGAAGTATGTTTGCCTCCTGAGGTCTGGTCTGTGAAGATGAGACTTAATTATTTTTTTCCATTTACAGCTACAGCTTTGTTTTCCAGGATTCTGATAGGAGTTTAAAAAGTCTCTGAAGAACAGACAAATAAGCTTGTTCAAAAACTGTAACTTTATTCATAACTGGTTAACTGGAGCAGAGCCTGGTAACACAGTTGTGCAACTGTGGATTAAAGATGCAGTCTTGGTTTTGTAACTTGGAAAATCAATAGCTATGTGAAATCAAAATTGAAGACTCATTTGAGAAACCAGAAAATATCTGTAGCTGAGTAAAAAAAATGTTCTGGCAGGGAGACATATTAAATTGGCTGGTACTTATCTTATTGTTGTTTTCTTTTTTTTGTCCTAGAGAATGACTCATAACTTCTAAACAGTAAAAACTAGTAATAAAAAAGATTAGATACAGAAGATGAGGCATGCAGAGCTGAACTGTTAGAATCGTGTTTTTGCCAGAAACATCAGTATCTGTGATACATGTTTATTTTCAGTGTGTTGGGTTTATCTGTCATGTGATCAAGTGGGCACACCGGTTAAATTCTGCATGTAGGCCATACATCAAAGTTACTGAGGTTGTAAGTCAGTGAACTAACTAGCCTGGAAAGTGGTCTCATTCTTACAGTGCCACTTTAAATTGAGTTTTCACTATGAAATAAAGTCTTATGTGACTGCCTTATGTAAGATTTTCGATACATGCTCTTCTTTTTGTGAAAAGTAAGGAAACAAATACCTGATCTGTCCACGGACAAGTTATGTGCAGAAAATCTGAGCGACACAATTACAGCTCTCAGCTGAGGTGGAGGATTCTAAAGTTACTCTCTTAGGGATCAGTAAGGTACAAACAAGTGTAATATATTGATTCAGGTTTGCTCACTGGCCACACCTTTCAAGGCACATGCTCAATTTTAAAGCATATGCGTAGCTCACAGAAAGGCAAGGCTGTTTTTTTACAGAATTCAGCATTCAAATCCATAATTTTTATTCTAATGAACTTAGATTTAAGGATAACTGTGGATATTTGTTGCTTTTTTTCTAGCCTAAGTCTGTTGGGGAAATGGGGGTGGAAAGAGGAAGAGGTGAGTTCATAACATTTCCAGTCTATATTCCAGCAATTCTGTTGTCAGCTTTGCAGAGTGTGGTTACAGGGTAAGGTAGTCCAGATATTCCAGGACTGAAGATCTACGATAATATGTTTGGGACTTTCAACACCCCCTACTCTTTCTATACTACCCCCAGGACATCCAAAAGTACACTGACTTCTCAAGAATTTGGCGATAATTTTAAAAGCTGTGGTTGAAATTCATGTTATTTCTGGAAATAGGCTAGAGGTAATTGGAAAAATCTGCAATAATTTGAAATAATTACTACTTTACTTAGAATCACCTCATCGTATTTATGTGATGAGTCCATATATTTACAGTGAGATACTTGAGATCTGTGTCCACCTAGGAATAAAGATTCCTTAATCAGAAAAAAAATGGCTTATATTGTATGTATAATAAAGTATTAAGTGCATTCTGGTGAGAAAGGATTTTTGGTTGGTAATATGCTTTCTATGTTGTTTAAGCAGTATAGATACCTTATATCCTGAGAATAAACTTCTCTTCTGTAGTTCTGTGAGATACCATCAAAAAATCCAAATCCTTTTGTTTGCTATCATATACATCCAGGTGCTGAAGCCGAATTGTATTTTTCCAAGAAAGGAAAAGAAACTTCAACTGAATTTTAAATACTCAGCAAAGAGCTATCCCACAACCTAATTAAAAACCAGACCAAATTAATAAAGCTTAGGCAGATTACAGATTGCAGTACAGCAGTTGTGGACACGGTGAGAACTGTGGGTTGAGACATTGTTTGGCCTTCAGATGTGGCATGCTCTGGCTTTCGCAACTCAGAAGAATTTTTGTGTGTTACTTTAACCAACATGCTCTCTCAACGTCTTCCCCCGTCAGTGTTCTTCCTTACTAGCTCATTTTTGAATTAATGCATAAATATTAGTGAGATTATTGGATTTTGCCCCTCCGCACTTGGCGTGCTGTGGGAGAGAGCAAATGAAATCATAGTGTCTTCTCTTGTGGCAACGTCAATACTCGTTCTCAGTCTTTTAACCATTATCTGTGCCAACGGAGGCTGCTGCTCTAAGGTACAGACTACAGGATGGAAGGTTTAACCTACTTTCTGCAAACAACTAGTTAATTTTTGCCACATCCTTCCAAAACTGTAGCTCTGCTTGTTCAAGATCCTGGGCATGCCGCCTCTCTTCTCCTGTAGCTCCGCAGGCCTTGGAAAGAAATTATGACTACTTCTACCTGTGTGCTGCGTAATGTAGTCAGCGAACAGCGTCACCTCTATGCTCAGACTGCTTCAATTTGGCTGTGATCAAGTATTTCCTCCACTGGTAGATACCAAAATAATGTCCCTAAGCAAGAAATGTGGCAATTAGTGACCATTAGCCTCTCTGCTTTAAGGAAAATGTTTCGTGTGTTAGAGGTCAGGTTGTGATTATTGCCTGGACTATGGGTAGATTTTTTTCATTAAATCCTCTACATTTGAATAAAATTCAATGAACGTGGAACCACATTTAGAGAATCAGACCACGTTTTAGAAAATATAGGACTGTCATCTATAAAGTATTTGGAATGTTTTTACCTTTGCTTGTTGGTACTGAATGTAACCTAGAGTAACAAGTGAATAATATTTAGCTTTCTCACTTTAGAAAGAAAATAATAATAATAATAAACTTATTAGGAAATTGAGACTGGTATTTGCACTTCAACTATAAGAACTTATAAGAACTTTCTAGTAACTCTTTAGATGATGGAAATCCACTAGAATTTTTTTTTTTTTTTAATGGGGTGGGGGAGGAGGATGGAGAAGTCTAGCACAAATATTAAGGGCCAAGTTCTATAAGTGACCGTTCTCTCTGGTGCAAATCATGTCGCTGTTGCTGGATAGAGATGCAGTTGTGATTTGCTGTCTGAAGAAACCATATTCAGCAACTAATACTTCCATTCAGAAAAGTACAAAAAGCATGTGCTCCTTTTCAAGAACGTGATTCAAACCTCTCCATGTTTTCCGTGCTTAATTGTTTTCATGACGCGGAGCACTAAAGGAACGTGCTGGCTAGAGGAGATGGGGCAACAGAAGACTTACCGTGGGGAGTGTTTGGACATTCTTGAGGCAACAGCCATTACTATCACCATAATTACTGCACTTTACCAGCAGTGCCTCAGTGTTATGAGTAATGGTTTTTTATTTTAACGGTTAACCAGTGCACTGAGATTGCACACACTTACCAAATACTTCCTCTAGATTTGTGTCCCCACTTGCAATCTGACAAGAGTTGAGTCAATCTGTGTTAATTTGTTTCTTTGCTGTCTGTCAGTACTGAGGCATTTATTGAACGTTACTGTCTAAAATGCCTAAAACTTTCATAAATGTCTAATTCTGGTTTGTCATAAAAATACACTTCTGCTTTCGGTTTCACGTGCATGCCGTTCCAGTAAAGTGACTCATACCCACATGGTGTGATAGACTGGTATTTCATAGAGTTGACTGTAAAGGTCTTGCATCAAATTTGAAATACTTTTGTTCCATCTCATAGGCTAATTTTATATCAGAATAATTCTTCTCAGATTCCATTCCAGGCCCTCAGAAGTTAGATTTCTTTTTTTTTTTTTTTTTTAAATGGAAAAAAACCCCTTATTTGTTTATTTATGTGTTTGAAAAAACATTTTTTTCCTAATAAGTAGCATCCAGCAATGAGTGTGTTATGCTAGTGTTTTCATTTGGATCAGCAACGCAGTTTTGAAGTGAATCTCCTGTTCGCCCCCACTTTGGTTTGCATTGTGGAGTGATCCTGGGGAGTGACCTGGACACGATTCCTTTCGGAAAAAATAATCTGAAAGATGCACTGCAGGAATGTGCCTAATCCACCCCAGCTACTAAGAAGCCATCAGTCTTTGAGATTAAATCTGAGAGCGAGTCCAAAGTAGAAAGCCCCTGGAACATGTGTAATATGGAATGTGTCCTTAAAATCAACTCTTTCACTGTACAGGCCCACTTTTATTGGCCCATGCTGTTGCTAATACGGCCATAGCCACCGAATATTGTTTCGCAATTACGTGAAACTGGTTTTGTACACACGTGAAACACTGTGGGATGAATGACATAAATACTGACCACGTGACAATTAGTGTGATGATTTGCAAAAAGAAGTTTTCATGTATGTATTTGAACTTCTTAAGGCCTTTAATAGTGCATAGTACCTATTTACATGTTACTGTTAATTTTTAATTTATCACAACTGAAATTTGTCCAGGGCTGTTAAACTTGTAGTGCATTCATAGTTG